CAGATTAAATTAAAAAGTTAGAATAAGCATTATAAGAGAAAACTTAAGAATTAGAAAATATTGCTTAAGAATATAATTTAGTATTTATTCATCTAAGTTCATTTAGGAAGAGATTTAATAGATGATGGAATAACTTTAATAAGAATCATCTATGAAAGATTAAATTATAGAATAATTGCAATAATAATTATAAGATAATCAAGAAGCATTTAATGAATTACAATCCAAATTGGCAAGTGGTTCTAAGCAAAAACAATAATAATCATCTAATAAAAAATCAGCAAAAAGCTAAGATAATGAAAAAGACGAAGTTATATAGGAGTTAGGATAATAATTAGAAGCTAAAGATGAAGAAATTCATAAATTAGAAGGTAGCCATTTTATTTTTAACTATAGATTTAATTGAAAATTTCAAATAACTTTATTAACATATGAGTGATGAAAAATAATAATTATAAGATGAAGTCGATAAATTAGCAAATGAAAATAATCAATTCAGAGAAATATTTAGTGTAAATATAAATTATTATTATTAGCAAAATCTTCATTTGTTTGGAATAGATCCTGAATAATTAAATGAAGAAGGAGAAGAGGCAGAAAATGAATATCCTGAAGAAATTGCTGAAGAAAATGATGAGTAGGGTGATTGATTTTTATAAAATAAATAAATATAAATTTTATACATTTAATAATTCGAATTAATTAATCATTTTTCATTTTTATTATCAGGGTCGATTTTTATTTTAACTGAAATATTTAAATATATTATTCAATGATTTCTCAAAAAAATATATTTAAAATTAATCTATTAAATTTCTTAAAACTAAATAACTACCAATTTTATTTAACATTTTAAAAATGATTAGAACTTTGGGATTTATACTTTTAAAATTATATTTCTAAATTATGTTAATGAATTTTTTATGTTTCCTATTTTATTCTCATTATTTAAATTTTAGTATTTTGTTTAAAAAATAAATGTCGAGGTATTTTTTTATTCTAGAATACATATTTATTTCTAAATGCATAACAATTTTTAGAGAATTTTAAGCTTTGAGCTCAATTGACTGTAAAGATTTTGTTCATTTTTTATGAATATGACTAAACATCCTCGAAAATTATATGAATCAGTAGTTAGTATATTATAACAAGGAAAGAAATACAATCATTTTTTTAAATGACTTAATTTTTAAGTGTTTAAAGCATTTGTTTATGAAATATATATGTAGGAAAAAAAAATATTCAGATATTTCTTCCGATCAAATGAAATAGATTTTTTTTGACTAAAATTTTTTTTATATGCAACATTATAATTTAGTTCAGATGTTGTAAACTTTTGCTTTGTATTTAGGGCTTGAGTTTTTGAACTATTTTATAAAATTGTTGAATTTGTGGAACAAAGTCGTAACTTTATATAATTTTATTAGTTTTATTCTGAAACTAATGATTTTTATGAAGGATGACTTTGCAATTCTTGAATTTTGAATTCATAATATGAAAATTGCTAAGGCTAGAGTGTTATTTGGTTTTATTGATAAACATTAAATAATTGAATGATAAAATAAAAATCGATATGTTTTTTATAAATTATCATTATATCTCTTTTTTATTATTAATTATTCATTTAAAATTTCTTCCATTTAANGGCAAGTGGTTCTAAGCAAAAACAATAATAATCATCTAATAAAAAATCAGCAAAAAGCTAAGATAATGAAAAAGACGAAGTTATATAGGAGTTAGGATAATAATTAGAAGCTAAAGATGAAGAAATTCATAAATTAGAAGGTAGCCATTTTATTTTTAACTATAGATTTAATTGAAAATTTCAAATAACTTTATTAACATATGAGTGATGAAAAATAATAATTATAAGATGAAGTCGATAAATTAGCAAATGAAAATAATCAATTCAGAGAAATATTTAGTGTAAATATAAATTATTATTATTAGCAAAATCTTCATTTGTTTGGAATAGATCCTGAATAATTAAATGAAGAAGGAGAAGAGGCAGAAAATGAATATCCTGAAGAAATTGCTGAAGAAAATGATGAGTAGGGTGATTGATTTTTATAAAATAAATAAATATAAATTTTATACATTTAATAATTCGAATTAATTAATCATTTTTCATTTTTATTATCAGGGTCGATTTTTATTTTAACTGAAATATTTAAATATATTATTCAATGATTTCTCAAAAAAATATATTTAAAATTAATCTATTAAATTTCTTAAAACTAAATAACTACCAATTTTATTTAACATTTTAAAAATGATTAGAACTTTGGGATTTATACTTTTAAAATTATATTTCTAAATTATGTTAATGAATTTTTTATGTTTCCTATTTTATTCTCATTATTTAAATTTTAGTATTTTGTTTAAAAAATAAATGTCGAGGTATTTTTTTATTCTAGAATACATATTTATTTCTAAATGCATAACAATTTTTAGAGAATTTTAAGCTTTGAGCTCAATTGACTGTAAAGATTTTGTTCATTTTTTATGAATATGACTAAACATCCTCGAAAATTATATGAATCAGTAGTTAGTATATTATAACAAGGAAAGAAATACAATCATTTTTTTAAATGACTTAATTTTTAAGTGTTTAAAGCATTTGTTTATGAAATATATATGTAGGAAAAAAAAATATTCAGATATTTCTTCCGATCAAATGAAATAGATTTTTTTTGACTAAAATTTTTTTTATATGCAACATTATAATTTAGTTCAGATGTTGTAAACTTTTGCTTTGTATTTAGGGCTTGAGTTTTTGAACTATTTTATAAAATTGTTGAATTTGTGGAACAAAGTCGTAACTTTATATAATTTTATTAGTTTTATTCTGAAACTAATGATTTTTATGAAGGATGACTTTGCAATTCTTGAATTTTGAATTCATAATATGAAAATTGCTAAGGCTAGAGTGTTATTTGGTTTTATTGATAAACATTAAATAATTGAATGATAAAATAAAAATCGATATGTTTTTTATAAATTATCATTATATCTCTTTTTTATTATTAATTATTCATTTAAAATTTCTTCCATTTAAGTATTAATAAATTAATAATAGTTTATTTGTATAAATTATATATTATGATTATGTACAATAAATTATTTTATATTTAGGATGATAATATTGAACTAATAAGATGATATAATAAATTTTAATTATAAATTGATTAATTTGATAATTTTGTTTAATTATTTTATGTTTCATAGTGAAAGTTTGCAAGAACATATTCTTTATGATAAAATTTATCAATACCTTTGGGTAAAATCTGAAACCTCTAATCCTCCTTCTATATTAATACCTGAAACAGTAATAGTAATACGATCTATGCCTATATATTGGTATTTTACAGACAGAGATTCAGGAGAAGTAAAGAAAAAAATGCGTAAAAATATAAGCAAAGAAAACATTAAGGAAAGTTGGTTAAACTGTGTTGGAAAATCAGGAGTAGTTGGCTATTTATTACATTTTATGTAAATGAATTAAGTATTTGAAGAGAGAATTTAGATCTAAATTACCCTGATGTAAAGTTAAAAGTTAGTGGATAAATATAGATAATTTATTTTGACAAAGAGGGATTTGAAAAATTTATGAATTCAAATGTAGAGCTTCCATTTGGTATTTTACAAAAGTACGTTGAAGCTGCAGATGATAAAAATTGTAATTAAAAACAATAATCAAAGCATAAATACAAGCTTTTTGGAGTAAACAAATTACTTTATTTACAAAAAGGACAACGAAAAAGACTTATCTTAATAAATCAATGAATATTTATGAAAGACTATGTACATTTGAAGGTCCAGATTATTTAAGTGAGGCAAGTAATATAATTAATGTTAATTGTAAGCTTAAGTGAAAGATTTTTAATCTTAAAGGATATCAGAAGAAATATAAAAGATGATTAATCATTTAGATTCTATTTCTTTTGGAAAATTGAATATAACATAAGGAATATTCTATTTTAAAGTAGATAAATAAGCAAAATGTTGGTTTTTATTCTGTGGAAATTTAAAGTTTGAAGGTGAAAAGCATTTAAAGAATTGTCCTAAAAATATGTATTAATGGGCATAAATAAAAATACCAAAATCAATAGATGGAATAACGTCAGTTTATAGTTAAAAACCTTAATAGTTAAATAAGGAATCAAAATGTATTTAATGTGGAGGAATTGAAAAAGAAAATAATTTTATTATTATACCTTATTAATATATTTTAGATAATGATTAAAATACAATTCCACCTAAGGATTGGCCTAAAGAAATTTAAAATGATGCAAAAAAAGTAAAATTAGCAAGTAAAAATTCTACTTAATCTGATCTATTAAATACAATATCTTAAGTTCCATTAGTATTTTAAAAAATCCATGCAAAATTAAATTCATCAAGTTTTGATTAATTAAAAAATCAAGATCGATTTTAATAAAAAACTCTGTAAGTTTGTTTAAATTGTTATATTCGTTTAGGTATTTAATTTATATAAATGATAAAGTTGCTTTTTAAGAGAAAAAATAGAAAGATTGTGTTATTAATAGTATTAGTCCTCATCCTAAAATACAGATGAAATCTCTTGGTGGATTTACAAGTGCAAAATCTCTTTAATAATATCTTCGACCAGATATAAAATAGAAAATGCATACATTAACCTCTGATACTTGTAGAAAAATAAAGAATATTAAAATACGTCCTATTTAATAGTATATGAATCAAAGATTGTAAAGTTTAAGTCCAAATTAGAAAAGTTCAATGGATTTTCCTTCATCACCTGATCTTTTATCTTATCATACTAAGTCCTCTACTTATGAATTAGGATATAACAATAGAAAACATCGAAATTGTTATAATTAGTCTCTATAGATGAAATTGAATAACTTGAATATCTGAAAGATTAGTTTTCTGTTGATATTTATAATTATGCGTTTTTATAATTAAAATTTACATAAAGATGAGCATAATGTTTGACAAATTGTTTCGACAATTTTCTCAATTATATGAGAGTTTCAACCCATCTTATTTTATAATAGCAGTAGTAGCATTTTCTTAAGGTGTATAACACTTAGCTGATTTATCAATTAACTATATGTTAAAAGATGATTTTGGATTATCACCAGCTATGATGGGATTATATTTAAGTTATACTACCACTCCATGGATAGTAAAACCATTTTGGGGTTTAATAACAGATTCAAAACCATTATTTGGTTATCGAAGAAAATCATATATAGTATTGTTTGGAATATTTGATGCGTTAGGATGGATAGCATTATCTAAATATGGAACTGATAATTTGTATTCTGCCCTTTTATTATTATTTCTAATACAATTATCAACATGCTTTGTAAATGTTGTAGGTGAAGCAATTCTAGTAGAAGTTGCTGCTTAATCATCCAGATAATAAACTAATTTTTAACATGGAGCTTCAAAAAATGTTTCAATATTCTTTGGAGTAAGAGCATTTGGAACATTGATAAGTGCATTCTTTTCAGGATAATTATTACATTATTTTACAAAATAAGAAATATTTATGATGACAGCTGCATTTCCAGCACTTTTAGTTTTGGTTTCATTATTCTATGTTGAAGAGAAAGTAGATCCTAGATCTTTAGATTAAAATGATAGAAGAAACAACACTATGTAATGTATCAAAGATTTTTGGACATTCTTTTAAAATCCTTTAATTTACAAGTATTTTTATAATAAATTTAAGGCCAGTTGCATTGATATTTTGTTTTATGATGGCTCCATCAAGTTCAACTATCATGTTCTTCTTTTATACATAAGTATTGGGATTCGAACCTTCATTTCTAGGATAATTAAAATTTGTTTATGCATTATCAACTATTTTAGGAGTCCTTCTTTATAATAATTATCTTAAAGATGTTCCATTTAAAAAAATATTTATTACTACTACAATTCTTTATTATTTTTGTTATCAATCTATGATTATTCTTGTTACTAGAAAAAATGTTGAATGGGGAATCAATGATAAATTCTTTTGTCTTGGAGATTCTGTTATGTTATAATTAGTAGGAGAATTAAATTTAATGCCTATTTTAGTCTTAGCATGTAGAATGTGTCCTAAAAATATTGAAGCTACTATGTATGCAATGTTGATGAGTACAATTAATTTTGGTATACAAATATATCTCTATTTATATTTTAGGATCTACATTAGGATCATAATGGGGTGCATTATTCTTAATCATATTAGGAGTCAATTAAAATGATTATTCCAAATTATGGTTATTTATTATTGTTACTGGAGTATTCATTTTAATGCCACTTCCATGGGTTGGTGTTGTTAAAGAAGATTAAATCTTATAATCAAGAGATTAATAATTAGCTTAATTAAAATAAAAAGATTGTGAATCTGATACAGTTTCCACCAGCAATCTAAGATAAGACGATGACTAATAGTAACTACTTTCAGAAAATGAACAATAAAAGTCATGAAAATATAAAATACAATTATTTTTTTATTCTTTTCATTTTTTGACTTTTTTAAACAAATTCTTATTTCTATCATTTTTGTATTCAAATCTAAATCCTCTTATTTAGGGTTCCTTTTTTAATAACAGAGTAACATAATTATAATTTATTAAATTATATAATTTATTTGATGAAATTTAAAATAATATTGAGCCTAACAACCAATAAGTTATTTTATTTATCTGCTATTGCTGATCATAATAGAAATGATAATTCAACGAATAGTTGGAATACTATCAAAATAATCATCTATTTTATCTAAGTACTTTCATTATTATCTATTGATAATATTAACATCTATTTTGACAATTATATTTTGCTACTAGCTTAATTCATAACATTTCAGCAAATTTATAATTCATATTATCAATTACTTGTTCTAATTGCAATTTTAATCATTCACATAATCATTCTGTTAATGATCTCATTATTACTCTATATTGTAACATATTAATATTTATAGGAAGAAAAATGAAATTATCGTTAAATCCCTCTAATTTTACTTCACTAATTATGATTGGCTTTTTTTGATACCTTCATAAATACTATGCTTTATCCATTACAATTTTTTAATTACTGTATTAAGCATTTTAGTATTATTTTTAAGTGTTTTTCAATATCTTATAAGCATTTATATTTTTCGTAATTCAGGCTTTTAAACCTAAAATGGGAGATCTAAATATATAAAAATTGATTTCATTTACTTATTTATTTTTGAAGCTTTAATATTTTTAAGAGCTGCAAATTTATAAACATTATCCATAATCAAATTATTTTTGGTGATTGCAATTATTCTTATTAAATTATTCGAGGTCTTAACAATACAAAAATTTAGTAATAAATCTGTATAAAATTTTTATCAGATATTCATCATTATCACATTTTTATGTATTGTTTAAGAAATTTTAATTCATGTTTTCAATTTTAAATCAGATCCTTATTTATATACAATTTTACTGCTTTTTCCAGTATTATATGATTCTATATTTTAGTTAATGAATTTTTTTTATGTAGTAGATAAATTCCATAAGAATGATGCAGAATACTTTTACTCAAATGCTATTTAAAAATTTAATCCCTAATGTCAAATTAAAGCATACTAATTAATTTTCTTACATAAGTTGCAATGCTTAAATGTTACTTGTCCTTGTAAAAAAGATTTAAGACTTGAAAACAAATAAAGGGTAATTAAATTTACTTCTTAAATTTTAAAATTAGAATAATAATTTTGTTACTTAAAGTATATATCCTTTTAAATCTAAAATAACAATAAAGGATTCAAAAATTATTTGTAGATTATGAAAGTTGTAAAACAATAGAAAGAAATTGAATTTTATTTTTACGATAAAAAAATTATTGAATCATTTTTGGTAATAGTTTGTGAAAAGACAAAGCAACTTTACAAAGAGATTATTCCAAACAAATTTTCAGAAGTTGTTTATTCTCTCTAATGGTTTGAATCAAACTGTGAAAAGATTAAAGATCAATTAAAAATTTTACTAAACATAAAATTGCAACTATGGACATAATATATTACTGATAAAATTGAATCATATTAAGATATGTTAGATATGTAAATAAAAATATCTTTTGAAATTAAGAAAATTAAAAAAGAATTACAATAGTTCTAATAAGATATTTCAGTTTTTCTAAATCAAGATATAAATTTAATACACAATTTATTTTATTAAAGAGTATCTTAAATTTTAGAAATGTCTTTTTATTCAGTTAATTAATATTAATCAATCGAGAAGAAAATAAAGAAAATAATTGAATATGAATAAGGTTAAGTAGATTTATTGAATTATCAAATGTTTGAAAATCAAAAAGCAATGCAACTTTTAGTAGTTATTTCTAAGCAACAAAGGGGTAAAATTGATAAAATTTCAAATAAATGGTTAAATATTGATAAATTCGAAAACCTAACTAATATTATGCCACAATAATTTATTGAATTACACAATTAATTATTAGATAATTACTGTAGATTTGGACCATCAAAATCATAGATATTTTAATCCTTTATAAAATATGGAGAGACTCCATTAGTTTCTAAAGTAAAAATATGTCTCAATAATTATCCAAAATATGATTAGGAATTACTCTATTTAATGGGAACTTTAGTAAAAGAGAACATAGGTGAGGATTAAGATTATATGTTGATTGGATAAGACTTTTAAATATTAGGATATTCAGAATAATTATGGTTTAAAATATTTTAACATATAAAGTTTTAAGATGATATTTACGAATTATGTGTATTTTAAATAATTCCAGAAATAAAATCAATATTAAAAGAGCATTATGAAAATATGCTAAAATATAATTTTTTATTTTAGAATCATGAAAAAATAATAAGCCATTAATAAAAGGCAGTTTTATACTTAAATAAGTTAATGGTTGGATCAAAATAAATATTCAATTCAAAATCTTATATCTAATTATCTCCTTAGGAAAGAATTGAAAAAATTGATTAATTATGTGGCAATTATGATAATTTTGATAAATGCGAATTTTAAATGAATTTGATGTTTAGTTTAAGTGAAAATTTGATTACCTTCAACACAAAAGATAAACAAATAAATTATATATATTATTGGATAACCTTAAATTTTCAAGAAACGAACTCATTTATTGATAAATAATTAAATTAATAATAGTCTTATGAAATTTAAGTCTTAGATGAAAATAAAATTAAAAAGATTGAGTAAATTATTAATTTATATTAGATTTAATTAAGTAAAGATGAAAAAAAGTGTTGCAAAAACTTCCTCTTCTAATTAAAAAAGCAATTAAGAGATTTAATCATTTGACTAAATAATAAACATTGTTAGTTAATTAACAGCTTATAGATTATTAATTTTATTGTCAATAGCATATATTTTTTTAGTAATCATTTATTTTATTCTACTTTATTAATAAATTTAGAAGAAAGAAATTTAATAAACATAATGTTTTGAATATCTTGAATATAGTACTTCTTTTCTAGATGGATATGGAAGAGCTATGATTGCATCGAGACATGTAATATACCTTAGAGATTTCAATAAGTTTCTAGCTTCATACAATTTATATTCAATAGATTCTACAAAAATTATAAATGTGACTTCAGTAGATAAAATATCCTTTTCACTTTATATTTATAAATAATCAATAGAAGAATTAATAAAATTTTATCAAAAAGAAACAGATAAACTTAAGATTTATGATTAATAGAATTAAAAAGTTGATTTAATAAGAATTAATTTTTATAGAAATTAAACTGAAATATAGACTATTGAATCTTTATCTTAATATTATAAAATAATGCTTCAAACATTATATATGGCAATCAAAAGTTTTGCCAGGGATCCAACATTGTATTTAATTGGTACCACTGATACATATGCACAGTAATAATTTATATATTTTTTTAAAGAGTCAATACAAGATCAATCTTATATTTTAACTTTAAAAGGGTTGCAAATATTACTTTAAATTTTATGAAATAATGTTAGATTGATGATAGATTAATTAATTAAAGTTTAGATTTCAGTTTTAATGCATTGTTAATTATTATTTATTCGATTATTTTATTACAAATAGTACTCTTTATAATATTATATTCTGCTATAAAAAAGAAATAGAGATTTGTTTTAGCTATGTTTTGTAGAACAAGTTTGAATGAAGGAATAGAAGAAATTGCATTCATTTAAAGGCTATTAAGTATCATAAAGAATTCAAAACTATGGTTTGGTTTATATGAATGTGGAGAAGAAGATGAAAATAAAATAACTAGATAATATAGTGGTAGAGCTATGAAATCTCATATATCACATTATTTATCATCTCGAGTACTTTTCAAAACTATAATCCCATTACTTATAGTATCATTTGGATCATTTCTAATGTTGCATATTAATTATATTGATTATTCAATAAATTTGTCTCCTATTGTGACTGCAGCTCTTAAGACATAATACATTCGTTTATTATTTTTGGATACAATAAACAACTGGGATGTTTATGTAAATCAGAAATTCTATGAAGCTATGATAACAATCTAGCCTACTGCATCAGGTAGATTTGTTATTATGAGTTAAAATATTAAACATGGATATTAATTATTAAGACTTATTAATGTGGATGAAGAAAATCTAAAGATAAATCTAGAAGAATTATAAAGTGAACCATTCTCACATATGATTTATTCATAAACTTTAGAAGTGGATTCAAATAGTCTTTTAGGTAAGGATATTTGTTTGATGGAAATATTTAAATGTAATATGAATGATACGGTTTATAAAGAAAGAGTTCATTTTTAATAAATGTTTTAAATTTATGAAGTTGGAATTATTAATTTATTTAAATAATCTATTTCTGTGATGAATTAAAATGATTTTTTTAATCTTAAAGACAATTATCAAATTATCTAAGCCTTTGAAAGGTTAGAAAAATCTTAAGATTACTTTTTTTATTTTCTTTGGGGATTCGATGCTTTCTTATACTAAATGAGATTGTTTTCAGATTTCTTTATTGATCTCTCTAAAAGTCAGTTGGAAAATCTATCCTTCAATATTTATATCCTATTCTATATATTTTCAACTTTAACTATTTTAGCATTAACGTCAATTTTATTGATTGGAAATATTGCAATTTAATAATAATTTATTCATACCTTAGAAATGTTATATCAAATTCCTAAGCAAACAATTATTAATAAATAGTTAGGTAGACAAATTAAACTTATATGATTCAAATATAATAATTAATTATTTATTACTTATTAAATATAAAATATAAAATTTTTATGATAATCTAATTAATAATAAAATAAATTTTACAAATATAGAAAAGCGTTTAAAAATAAAAATTAGAACTTAATAACTCCTAATTCTAAATTCAAGTTTTAAACGAAAACAAAATAAGGATAAATTTGAATTAAGTAATTCACAGAAGAAATAATACTGACAAATTAATAATAGAAAGACTTAAAGAAATACCATAATAAATAAATTCGAAGGGGATAAACATAAGTGGAGATATGAGAAAGTATTATTACCACGACAATCTAATATTGGTATCATTTTTTGATAAAATTAAAAAATTTTATTTCTTATCATATTTTTTACTTTATTTATTAGAAGATGGAATTCATGGCTAATGTTTTTCAGATGCAAAAGTTTTAATGCATAATATATAAGATACATAATATAATCGATTAATTAATAATAATGAACACCCTCTAAAAGTATAGGAAAGAAGTGAAGAAGAAAATTACAATAATTCAGTGTTAGCCTATTCATTAAAAGTAATTTTATAAAAGAAATATAATTATATGACTCTATCTTTCTAAAGGTTGCTTTTGGATATGGAATTTTAGAGACTTCGTAGATTGCTTAAAAAACAATTTTGGAAGATGAATTTTTTTCTAAAAATCTTATTCAGTTTAGGTTTATATTTTCATATTTTCTTTAGTCTCTCTAAGGATTAAAAATATAATTTATTAATATTTTTTGTGTTTTCTGTTTTAAAAATAATATAATTTCTACATCTTTTAAAATTAATTCTAAATTTAAGGTATTTTCGGAATTCTTATTTAAAAAAAGATCTATTTTAAAAGGTTTGATTAATTTGGATATTATATTATAAGTAAAAAAATGAATGGATATATGAAATTGTTTGATAAATAAAATGAAATAGATGACAAAAATTGAAATAATTATGAGAATCATGATTAAATACCTATAATGTATATTTAAATATTAATAGGTTTATATTTTGAAATCATTTGATACTAAAAGTTTATAATTTATATTTATCAATCATTCTTAATCAGTTTCTTACGTTATAATCAGGCAATTCTGAGGAGAAGTAAGAACTTTTTCAGTATTACCGTCAACAGCAGGACTAATTTGATTAAATTATAATCTTTACATTTATTTATTTACTATTTTAGACTGTAAAAGTGTTGTATTTCTTTAGGTTTTTCTTGTTAGCATCAATGATGATAAAGGAACTCCTGGATCAAGACTTAATTAATGTTTAAGGATATGATTATCACTTTCTCGAGTTAAGAAGTTAAGACTTGACATTCTTTTAAATTAAGATTTTCTTTCATTTATTTATAGGTTCAGATTTTCATACTATAATTTTTCCATTTTATTGCGTTCCTCTTGTAAAATTTTAAAATCATTAAAATCTCTATTAAATTTTAGATCTTAAGTTTTAACCACAGAGAACCTTTTTTATACTTTGGTCAAAATTCCTCTCATAGAAGACATTTTTTCAAATTCTTATTTTCTTTTTCTTTCTTCTCTTATTGTAATGATTTCATCAAGCAATGCCTTTCTTTAAGTCTAATTTTCAAGAAATCTCAAGGACTAAGATACCTGGCGGGAATCAAATGGGTTTTAAAGCATACCAATAGCTTTTGAGACCATTAATTTGTTTCTTTTAAGCTTTTGCAGTTGAAGTTTTTATGAAAAATTTTGTTTAGTAGAAGATGTTTGAGTTAAAGAATGTTTTATCATTTTATAAATTAATGATTAATTAAAATTCATTAACTTCATATTTTTATCTTGTTTACTAAATATAAAGAAAATATCTATACAATAAATATCTAGATTTTGTTTTCTAAATGTAATGATAATAATCTTAAACTATATTTTTTGTTGATATTATGATATTTAATTATATAATAATAAATAATTAATTAAACAGCTTTTAACGACATTATTAAAATAATTAAATGTCTCAACAGCAATCTATCTAAAAATCAGCCACTTAATCATCTCTTAGAACTCTTACAGATTATGGAGGATAATAACGATTAGTCAATTATGCAAATTTATAAAGAAATCTTTCCCCTCAAGCTGAATTATGTCTTGCAAAAGATTACAATTCAAAAATCAATAAATATGCGTATTCATAATAAATAATTGTAGAAAATAAGAAAAGACTACTTGTACATTACCTTCTTAATGCGATAGTAAAACAATTGAAATGTGTAAAGAAAATTTGAATAAAATTGCAACACTTTAAAAAAATAATCCTACTCTTAAATCAAGTGATCCTATAACTTAGGAAAGCAAATCTTTAAATGAAAATAAGAGTCATATAATTAAAACTCCTTTAAGTGATGTGGATAATTTATGGAATTTTCATAATAATCCAATAGCTCCAAAAGTAAATCCAAATTCTAAAGTGAATTATTAAACATAATAACCTGATTGGAAATCTAGTTAAAAATCTATTTAACCAGCTCCTGCTAAAACTAAGGATCTTTTTGAAAAAAGAGAACTTAAAGTGGCTGAATTAAGACCAGCTGATAGAAATCCAATTTTAGAAGATAATTAATAAAAATAATATGGAAAACATGAATCATTTGGAAAGTCTGATCATTTAGAATGCAAAAAATTGCTTTCAAATGGTTATGGTTAAGAATTAAAATATAAAGAAGATGTAATAATAATATATTTATTATTAGAAACATCTTGCTTAAAAACCTAATTCATTTTAATAGTCTGAAAGAACATTCAATTATTCAACAGTTAATTAAGGTGATTATAGAAAGAAACCATCAGAGTTTGAAAACAGAAATACATTTTTTACAAGAAGATGAATAATAAAATTATGTATAACTATTATAAATAAATTGTAATTTATATATAATTCAATATTCTTCTAAAAGACTGATTAACTTTTTTTATTATTGATCTATCAAATCAATTTTGAAAATATCATTAAGAAGATCTTTATAGCACTTTAAAATCACAATTAAATCAGAATCAATACTTTAAAGAGAAGAAGAAAGTGATTAAATCCTAACAAAATTTTCATTCTATAAATTTAAGCAATGTTCAATTTTATTTTAAATCTCAACATTTTAAGAGTTTTGAGTTTCTTTGAGTTTATTCATAGTATTATTGATCTCGCTATATAATTGAAAGCAATTACGTCATTTCTTTAGATTACTAATGTAAATGTGAAATTAAAGCCTTCTGACTGTCAGTAATATCATTGTACTATTATTGTAAATTGTTAGAATTAAATGACATAAACTTTTCATTAAGAGCTTTAATTGTTTTTTCTAACTTTTAATTATTAGTATTATATTGATCTTAAAATTCTCTAGTCAATTTTATATAATTATCTTCATTAGTTCTAAGTCTTTTTTCTAAAGCAGCAATTTTATTATTATCAGACACAGTTTATTAGGATATATTAGGAAGAATGGCTTAATTAAATAAGAATATGGAATATACATGAATTTTATTTTTAAGCTGATCTTCTAACTTGAGGACTTTTCATTTTTTCTTGGGCACTCATAACACTAATATCATTTTAAGGTAATGAAAGTTAACTTTAATTTCTTATTATTCCACTTGTATCATTATTTGAGTCATCTTTTTTTATATTACTCTTATTTCCATGTGGACTTTATGGACTAGCTTAAAGATATTGTAATTTCTATAGATGAGTATTAAGTTCAGTCAGATTGTCTCTATTATCAAGTCGCTCTTAAAATTCTGTTAGTTTTGCTTCAATAGATATAATTATTTGCTTAAATACTAAACCACTAACATTATCATCATCTTTAAGAGAATTTGATAATTCAACTATTTCAAATAAACAATTTTATTTATTTTTAGGTTCTATGATAATTGGCTAGATTATCAATTATTTTTTAGCATCAAATCCATTAGATTCATTTGTAATCTCTTTTTTTGAATTAGATGATTAATTTGTAAAGTTGTCCTTAGATTTAGGAACTGATTTTCCTGGTTTCCGAGCCGATTATTTCATTCTCGATTAATTATTATTATTCGAATAAAATTATTATATACTTAATCTAAGCTTTAATAATAAAACAAATAATAATATATAATTAATAAAACTTTATTCAAAATTTATCTACTCTTATTAGTTTTTTTGATATAAAATTATCCAAAAATATTTTTTTTGTTTGAAAAATAAAGCATAATTACATGACATAACATCATTACTATAATTAAATTAGGATTAATAATTATTATTTATCTAGTCTAAGTCTACTTTAGATTTTGCCTTGATTATCTAATTGATGTCATGAAGAACACTTAATTATGATATGTAATTTACTTAAATATGTTTTGCTCTTATGAATTAAATTCATCAATTAAATAACACCATATTATTAAATGATGTGTATTAATTTGTATTATTAGGACTTATGTAAAGTGATTATAACAAATAAATTAATGTTCTTTTCTCTAATGTTTTTATAATATTTTATAAGTTGAGAGACCTGCAATACTCCTTAAACAAAATATAAGGTTTCTAATTTCTAATTGATTTAAAGTTCTATTTTTTTGAATAATTTAAAAAATTTTTTTGATATCTTGTATTATTTGATCTTCATTTCACATTATTTTAAATTACATCATATTAAAATTTAATCTTAGTTTTTATCTATTCAGCAATAAAATAATTAAATAAAATGCTTAAATAAGTAAGGAGCAATGCTATAAATGTCGATCCTTTCACAAATCGGAATTAGATTACCCCAAATGTCAATTAAAGACATAAAATAAATCAACTTACCCATATAAATCTATTTTCTGATAAAACAGCAGATACATTAACTTCATCAATCACTACATTGTTTCATCCTCATGTTTCTAATGTTTCTGAATTTAAGAGTTTTAATGCGTATCCCTCTACTCTTAACAATTATCTTGACAAATATTTCAATCCCTATAGAAGATTTTCAGAAAAATAAAATCGTCAAAAATCACCATCTCCTTTAATTACTAATAATAGTCAATTTAAATTATCGAATGAGATTGAATCCTTTCGAGATTCAATTCAAGCTATTGATCATGATTAAATATCAACATCTCAGCCAAGAACTTCAAATATAAATCCTTAAACCAAGAAATCTAAAGTGCGTTATAATTCTCTAATACAACTAATATCGTAAAAAAATAATTAAGAAAAGAATAAGTTCAACTTAAATTACAAAATCTAGAATAAAATATTGATTAAAATAATTTAACAATAAAATAACTTTCAGTCTTCATAAAATTAAAATAATATTAATCATATTAAAAATCAAGAGAAAAAAAAATTAATCTCAAATTAAAATGATTAAAAATCATTTATTCCCATTAAATCAGATGAGAAAGGGTAAACACAAGATTTAATAATACAAAAGCAAGATCCCAAAGAATTAATTGAATATAATGTCAAATAATTTAGAATATAAATAAATAAGACTATATTATTAAATTAAACTTAACAAGAAAATCCTGAAATAATACAATACTAAATTCCAGAAATTCATTAAGAGATTACTTTACCAAAAATTATAAATTAATAGCAATAAGAATTAGAAGATCCAAATTTTAAACGAACAAAGAGTGAGATATTGAGACCTTAAAAAGCTTAATAAAAATTCTCAAATTTGAAACTCAAATTAAATGGATTCTAAATTAAATTTTTAATTGCTATTCTGATTGTGATTTTATTAATAAAATTTTATACTCCATTAGTGTGATAATATTTAACTTCAAAATTAAGTTGTTTATTATTCATTGCCCCAATTCTTTAAACTATGATTAGGGTAAGTCAAATATTGAAGATCAAATTCACTGACTTTTTTGAATATTCCATTCTTGCCTATAATATTTTTTATAATCACCTTGATGAATATTCATCATCCCTTTAAAAAGATTTGTATAAGCTCCAACCATAACACAAACATCTCCTGGATTTATGGCTGACTCATCCATATCATGTACATTCAAGAATGCACTCCCACTCTCATCAGCAATCCAATATTTTGTGATTTTTTTTTAAGTCTTAGTAATCTGTGTTTCAATTTTTTTTAGTACAATAAATCTTTTAGATTTCTAAAAAATTATTTACTTGAATTCTAAGTTTTTTTATGTTGGGTACATATTTTTGATTTGATTTTCAAACTTCTACTTAAAAAGAATGGAATTGAGTTATTCGAACACTTATTAATTAATCATATAATTAATAATGATATATATTATTATTTTAGGAATGCTTGTTCTTATCCATTTAATAATATAACCTTTATTAGAGGTTATCTATTTTAAAATAAAAGATGCCAAATGAGCTATAATTCAATATTCTCAGGAAATCAATAGAGACTAATGGACATTCATTTGAAACCTTATCTTTATTGATATAAAACTATAGATAAGCAGACATATTAATTTTAAATTTATTATTTCGACCACTGATTATATTCTTGAAACTAAGATATTATATCATATTTATGTAATAATATTTATTGTAGCATTTTGGATTGTATTTCAATTATATGGTACTTTCAAATTCATATAACATAAAATACTTTGAATTATATGAAAATATTTCATAATAAAAAATTTAAATGATCACATTTAGGCATACATTATGAATGTCTTATTTTTAGTTGTTAAATTAATTTTATGAATTAATTATATTTTGGTGATTCTCCACCATCTTAATTATCAAATAAATTAGGGGGATATTACAATCCAACATATTGACATGCTTTTAAAAATTAAATTTATTCTTAAGGTAACATTAATTTTTAATAAAGACATTTACTATCTTGATTTGGAATCTAATTTTTTGATATTTATAAATCTATTTTCTTACTAAAACTTTCAAAACTTCTTTCAATTCTAGGTAGAGAAGTAGATCTAATTTTTTAATTCGAAAATACTATGCTTCTATTATTTTTATCTTAACTTATACTAAATCTTTTATTCCTTTCTTCAATTGTAGGTATTTAGATGAATTTCTTAATTAAACTATTTACTTATCTTTTATTCTTAAGTTTCGATATTTCATTTCCTTAAGCTTCAATCAAACTTATCTTATGATCTAATTCAGACTTTTGAGCTTTCATGATTATTTTAGCTTCTTAATATTTTATAATTTCTTCTTTTATTCTTCTCTCATAATTTGCACTGGTTGTATCGATTAATTATTTTAACTCTTAATTTTACTCTTATAAAAACATGATATCAAAACTATTCATATTTGTTTAAACTTCTTAATTCATCTTGTTTTTCATTATTAATAATTTTTTAAGCATGCTTTAATTATTTTTAATTTTATCTCTCATCTTTTCTGTTTCTTATTCCATAATTAAGATTCCTTATGGAACTTCTTTAGGACTTGGATGTGAATCAATAATGTTTTTACTATTAATAGATAATTTATTAATAAAGTCTCCAATTTATGACATTTCAAGACTTGCCCTACTTTGTTTGACCTTAGCCACTTTATGTTTTTCCTTAATACTCTATTAAATTAAACATTCAAAAGGCACACTTCTTGGATGTGGAGCTAAATGTAATTGAAATTATTGAATCCATAATAATAAATTATTCAGGATTACTAAATGAAATCCATTTAAAGTCTTTTATTATCATTTTAATATTACTTTTATTAATTCACCTAAATATCCTAAATCGTACTCTCCCAAACTAAGAATTAATTAGGCTTCGCAAACAGTTACTATATTACAGTATTATCTTAGATCTTCTATGTAGCCCTGTTAAATTTCTTATTGTCTATCATTGAATTACACTTAAGCCTTTTACAACACCTGTCTTATCTTCGCTGTGAGTTTCTCCAAACTTAATAGCAGCTATTGAAAATTACTCTGGATATTATTATATTGAATTCATCTTATTTCTTATAATAAATAATAAATCATAATTTTAGAATCCTTTATTGTTTCTTATAATATTGATATTAAATATATTAAACATATATCTTACAATTTACTTTTTTATTCATAATAAAATACTCCTTCTTTCTTTTTACTTTTATATTTAATTTATAAATAATAAAAAATGAGTTATGGATGGTTAACAGAAAGTTCTTTAATTCCAGAACCAGCAGTTCCAATCAATGTAGATAATTCATCTGTAAACTTCTATTTTCAACAAATTTAGATTTTAGCTATGAAAATAGCTTTAATGAAAGATAAACAAAATGAATAAGGAGCTCTTTCTAAGGCTAAGGTTGTCAAGAAATAAGAAAAACGAATTAATAAAGGAATTGAAGAAAGAATGAAGAGAGATATGAAAGATAATGCAGCAGAAACTGATTAAAATCGTTTAGAAAAGCTTAATGCTATTTTAACTAGAAAAGCTATTATTTATGAATAATAAAAACAAACTGGTATTGTTACTAAGAATTCATTGATTGATTTCAATTTAAAATAAATAAATGATATGAGTGAAAAAGATTAAGAGTATTTAATTATTCACAATTTAGATAATATGAAATAGAAAGACAAGAATTTATTAAGAAAAAGAAAGAAGAAATTCATTAGGCATAAAGAAATCTTATAAATTAAAGACCTGAAATTGCTAATCCATAATTAGGCTTTTAATAAAATTAATAAGAACTTGAAAGAATTTAATGGGAATAATAAATGATGAAAGAGATAGAAAACAATATCAAAGATTCTAATTAAATTCTATTTGAAAAAGGGCCTATAGAACAATCATATGATAAAAGACTTTCATAAGCAGAAAAAGAGTTTTTAAATATTTTTTATTTCTAGGAAACTTCCAAATGTGATCAATGAAGAATAAGAGGCTAAAGAAAAGATATCAGAAATAGCAAAAAAAAGAAAAGAATTTCAAGAAATTAGAATGGAAAAACTTAAAAAATTAATTAAAAAGTAATGATTTTTTAAAAACCAAAATTCATATTCTGCTATTTAATTTTTATAAATAAAAAAGAAGATATATGTATTCTTTTCAAATGTATCTTATATATAAATAATAATTATAATTCAATATATATATCTATTACAAAATTTTAGAATTTTCTAAATTTGATTTTGGTATTGCATTATTTTTATTTTTGAAAATAATTTTTATTTTGAATATACCAAACATTTTAATAATGTTTATCAAATAAAAAATAAAGTCTTTCTCATTTTATATATATTTATATAGTCGTAATTATATTATTCAAAAAGGATCTATATCAATAATTTTATCTTTAATTATAAATAATCATAATTTTTATATGGATTTGAAGGTTTAATCTGAAAAATGCATTTTTTCAAACACCAACAATCATTCCTTTGGTCCAACGGCTAAAGCAATTAAAATAAATCATAAAAGATTAAAGAGAGAATCTAAAAGTGTGATGGAAGTCTCTTTTAAAAAAAATGATTAAATTATAATAGTTGAAAATTGGAAATAGTACAATTAAGATGTCAGTAACCTTGAGTAACCTTAACCACCTGTAAAAAAATTTAAAGAGACTAGTTGTACAGCCTGTAATATATTTTGAAAGTAAGAGTGAAATTTATATTTATAAAAATTTGACTGTTTTTGGATTTTTATCATAATGATAATTCTAATTTTGAGTTTTGATATAGATTTATTGATTATTTTTCTAAAATCCAGATTAAAAATAATAAATTGTTTTTAAATATGAATTTTTTTTAATTTTCCTTTTTTATACAAAAACAACAGAAAATGTGAATATTCACTCTGTTAATTTAAATAAAAATTTTGAAAATGAAAGTTGAAATAAATAGAATTGTAAATTTATAATTAAATGAATATAATAAACTTTATCAATAATTATTCATCAAGATAAAGGCAAAATCTCATTTTATTTAAAATATTAAAAAATATGTTCTAAGAATTGATTTTATCTGATTCTGATTCATTTCGTCAAAAGAAAAGAGGAAGAAATTAAAATGATCGTCAAAGTAAGATTTTGCATCTAATTTTAGTTTCAAGTTAAGAAAAGTTTGAGTTTTAATAATAATACTAGTTGTTTTAACAATTTTATGAGAGTTGCCAGAATATTCCGATAGACTTTTTGTATTTAAAAGAATATTTTAATATTGGTTTAAATGATTGTCCAAGTGATGTAGAGGTATTTAAGATTCAAAAAAAATTAAACAATCGACGAATCTCTTCAAATTAAAAAAAAAGTTGGAGTTGTGATGAAAAAAAAGTCTTGGTTTGGGTCATTGGTAAATATTGTTCTTTGAAATAAAAAAATTGTAGATTTTTAAATAGTGATGATTTTAACGAAATTGCCTAATATTTATTTAGGAGAAATGCTGAAAACATCAAGTAAAAATGGATTTCTATGCATAAAACATCATTGGTTACATAACCATTTACATAAGAAGAAGATTATCATTTATCAATACTATATGATGAATATAAAAATGATGAAAATAGATGGAAGTAAATTGCTTAGAAGATGAATAAAATAACTTAAATATACAGAACAAGTAAGCAACTACGTGAAAGATGGATAAATTACTTAGATCCATCATTAATTAGAATTAAGGATCCTTGGAGTGATAGAGAAGATTTAGAATTGGTTTATTAAATTTAATAAAAAGGTAAAAAGTGGACAGAAATTGCTAAACAATTAAAACGAAATGAAAATTAAGTGAAAAACAGATTTAATGGTTTATTAAAAAGAGATGAAGTAGACGATGATCTAAATAAATTAATTGATAAAATATTATGGAGAATTAGTAAATAACCAATAGATGATATTAAAAATAATAAAGAAAAACAAAATATTCATAATAATCATAATTAAAGTTTGTTATTTGCTATAGGAAATATTGATTCGATTACTAGAGAAGAAACATATGAATTAACTCCTTGTATGGTTAATCTTAAGACAAATTAAATATATTTTACTCCTAATTATTTGTTATAGGAAATCCTATAATATTAATAATAAGATGTAAGAGATGATTTTGATAAAATAAAAAGAGAAATTGAAAAGTTTGAACCAACTCAATTCAGAGTAGCCTCTCTATCTATTATCAGCGAAGAGTATTAACAACCATAAAGATAAAATAACTAACCACATTTCATACAGTCATTTTCTGAAATGCCTAATTTTGAATCATCTAATTAACCTGCATCATTAGAAGTAAAGACATTTATTAATCCATTTTACTCCTTGAAGAATTTATAGTAAAAGTACTTTAAACATCGAACTGATTTATCATTGCCAAAGACAATCAAATATTTACCTTGGCATTCTTTACCTTAATTATTATTTTGCTGATAATTAAATTCGTATCATATTATCATATAAATAAACTTTCTCAAAAAAAATACCATGTTAAATATTTAAATCAAAAAAATTTATGTTTAAAATCATTAAATATATTAATTTAATATATTTTCTTCATTTATAAACATTTTTGTTTTCTCTTCATTTACTTCTATAATCTTTCTCGCTTGTTCTCTAAACTATTTCTTTTTAAATTAAACAAATTTAATATTTTCTCTATATTATTTCATTAAAGTAATTTTGAATTCTTAACTATCTTCAAATAAGCGTTTTAATCTTTTTATTTATTATAATTATTGTGTTAACTATTTGTTATCTTCTCTAATTATCAAGCCTTTAATTGAAGCTTCATATTACTATTATTGCTACTCTGATAATAATAAAATTAAGGCTTATTTTATTACACTATTAATTAGTGAATAACAATTTGCTAAATCCTTTTTTTTGCTTTCTTTTATTGTTTATTGTGATATATATGATGAATATTTTTCTAATTCTTTAACTAGTAATTAATAGTCTAATGTTTTTAATTTTTATAATTAACTAAAATATTACTATTAGATTTTTTCATTTAGGAAAGGTATTACTTTTTAATAGTTTAAACTAAAATTATCCTTTAATACTTCTGTAATTAAGGATGAAAGATTTCTTAAATCTTCAATAATTTTTTAAGAAGCAGTATTATTCTTTTATAGATTCATTTCTAATTTTTCTAATTATTCTGAGTTTTTATCAATATTGGCAGATATTTGATTAATTTTGTCATTATAATTTTTCCTAGTTTTTTTTAAAACATATTCAATATTGGCATCATTAAATATCAATAGTTTTTCTTATTGATCATATAAATCATCTATCTAAATATAATATATGATAATACTCTTTCTAATAGAGATAAAAATTTCTTGAATATTTCTTCATGTTATTCAGAACGTTCATGAACTTTATTCAAAAAAGATGTAGCAGTTTGTTAAACGTTGATATAATTTTTGAAGATGTTTAAAGTATTGCCATAGAATGCTGTTTGCTCTGCTATAGCCACAAAAAACGATATAAAAATAATAATCATAATATTAAAATTCAAGATCTATTCAACATTCAAAATTTCATTTCTATTAAACATAGAAAAATTCAATGCATAATTGTTAAGTTAAAGTAATCAATCACTTAAACTAATGAGCCAATAAAATATAAATTAATTTAAAATTTTCTATTGAATGAAATCAATCTTTGAGAATTTAGTTTCACATTGTAATTAAATAGCATTAAAAGATGAATTTACATATTTCAGTAGGCTAAAAGGTTGTATATTATTCAATTAAAAATGATGAATAATTGAATTTTATTTGTATTTTAAGAGAAGTTAATCGAATTTTTACAAGACAACAACGTTTTAAAAGTCTTATTCAATTAACCTTATTTTTATGGGATTTACAATAAAATAAAAGTTTTTCCATTCACAATATTTGAGGAATAAATATTTGAATAATATGATTAATTTTATGTATGTGCATCAGATTCCTTATTATGTATTTTTCTTTAGCTAATAAATCAATGTTGTCATTCTTGCAATTATATTTACATTTTTTTAATGGGGCTTAATTTTTTTTGGTAGCTCAAATTCTAAAATTTAAATTTATAATTACCAAATATAAAATATTTTTTCTTATTCTGATTTTCTAACGATTTATTTACTTGATATCAGTTTATAGTAATAAAAATTTTGCAACATGAAACATTATAATTATCAATTAAATTGAATAAGTAAGAGATCTTTCTAAATATTCAACTTTATTAATGATCTTATTGTTGTTACACTTCAATTTACCTAAGATGAATCCTTTTTTGTTCCCTTTTCTGAATATTATTTCAAAGAAAACATTTAAATTATATATAATATAATGAACAAGGAAGAATAAGATCTTGTGCATAATATATTTTATGAAGAACAAAAAAAATAATTGATGAATTTCATAAAAAAACAAAATTTAAAAATAATAAAATGTTAGGTAATGATATAAAAATCATACTTAGAATAAAATTTAGTGTTTAGAAAGATTAATAAATTTATATCACAATTAATAGAATAGCTCTAACAAAATAAAAGAGTATATAGAATGAAAAAATGCCAATTTTAGAAATATATACTAAAAAGATATAGAGCAGTTATGTTATAAAAAATATTTAATAGAGTTTTCTTAATTAATAGATCTATCATGTTAATAGCTCTTAAAATTTTACTGAGAGATAAGAGGATAGTTAGAATAATAATGACATGAATCTATTATATGTATTTGATATTAAAGATAAAAAAGTAAAATAAATAGATTAAATTAGCAAAATGTCATTAGAAATTGATGATGATTACATTAGGTGATCTGATAGAAAATTTAAATCTAATACAATAGTCTATAAGGAATGAAGTATTTGTTTATAGATTTAATAAACAATGTTAAGGTTTTAGGCAATTTGATTGTGAATAATTGGTGGAGGATAAATAATACATTGATGATAGTATTTGAAATATAAAATTTTGATTATTATTAGAAAATGCAAAAAATCAATTTAGCAAGGAGTTATTTGAGAATTATATTAAGAATTTATAAGATTAAATGCATAATTTATAAAGTGCTATGATAATATAAAATGTATTAATTATTTAATGATAGATAATATTCCTGTAATCTTGTGCTCTAGTCTCTCATTGATAGGATAATTACTTATAGTAATATTGTTTATTTATTCTAAAAAATTAAGATAAGGATTGATACCTAGAATAATCCTTTATTTGACAATCAGTGGAATAATTTAAGTATTTAATTTATCAATTAGACTATTGGTATATTATGCTCAAGTTTTGATAATCTAAATTGTGCTGTATTTGCTACTTTTCGATTGTATGGAGGATTAAGTTCTCTTATATGGAGTTCGATTTTTATTTATTCAATAAAGTATTAAAGTATTAATAAAAAAGATAATTGTTTATGGTACTTGGTTAGGATAGTAAATTTAAAGATACAAGATAGATATTTGAATAGTTATGTTCTTAAGAAAATAAATTTATAATATTTTCGTATGGAATTCCAATAATTTTGATGATATATCCTATAATGACAGCTGTTTTTTTAAGTGAAAGAAATACGTAATACTGTTTATATTATCATTAATAAAATGATTCATCGAATTTAAAAGCTTAGTTAGATATTCAAAAATTATTATTTTGGATTATTCCTATTTGTCTTTATTTGGGTTATAGTTTTACAATAATAAAATAAATAAAATAGCTTTTAGCTGAAGATGACGAAAAGAAGGAATTATATTGGGAAGTAAAGAAACTTATTAAATAAATTTTTCTATTTCCAACAATAACATTTATTTGTACTTTTAGTTTTACAATAGAAGATATTTAATCTCTGTTTTCACACAAAGTATAATATATAATTAAAATAAGGTAGGATCAATTTGGACAACAATTTCATTTGTATTTTTAAGTTTTTGGGGTTTTCTTAATTTTGTAGCTTATTTGAGTTAAGACCCAGTAAAATAATAGATATTAGAATGGTTGGAGATGGATTAATAAAATCAATAAAACTAATAAGGTAAATATAAATCATATATTTAGAGAGTTTCATATAGCATAATAGCTATTAGTAGAAGATGAATAAGGAAATACAAGATTGAGTATTGGGAGCTAATGTTATTATTATAATGAGACGAATGAAAAAAGTTGTGATAAATCAGTTTAAATGACTGAACCACTTTGAGAATTTTTTATTGTGTAATCATATATTTGTATGTCTGCATGCATAATAACTAATTATAATTATTATTATAACATATTATTAATGCAAAGCCACAAATCTGAAAAATCATATTAAGATTTCCTTTCAGTAAATGAATCAGACTTTTTAAACACTTATTTTTTACATCTAGTTGGAGATACTATTCCGCAATTTGTTTGTTAATCAGAATTAGCTATACGACATAGATTAGGAGCTAAAATAGATGTCTAATTACTATTTTAATAGAAACGCAGTGTACATGTGAAACCTAATAGATATATGTTTTGTTAATGTGATTTCAAACTTGAAAGTGCAATACAATTATTACAAAATTAAATTAAGAAATATGATTATTAAGAAAATGAGGAGTATTAAATGTAAATTGATTTAGAAAGAAATCATCTTCAACAAAGAAGAAACTATATAGATCTGTATTAACATCATCATTTTCAGATGATATTCCAATTTGTCAAATCAATTCTTGGGTCCTTTTAAATGATATTAAAATAGAAGTGAAAAAAGGTGATATATTATTATTCATCGTAAAGATTAAAGCTTCTTCGTATACTCTTAATCGATTGTAGACTCTAATTCAGAATGAAATTAAATATACTAAAGTACTAATTAAATAAATAAGAGACAAAATTAAGTGATTACATAACCAAATATAATCCAAATATACATCCAATATTAATATTGAATGCAGACATCAATTTCCCGTATTAAAAACTAAATTGTTAAGCATATTATATTGGGAAATAGAATTTAATGTAACATTTCTTTTAATAGTTGAGAATACAAGATGCAGAAGCAATAACAGAAGATGTAATAAATTTAGTATAATAATTTAGTTGATTTCAAAATATAATTTAAATAGAATGAGTTAGGCAAGAATTCTGGCTTAAAAAGAAGCGTTAGATTATTAGAAACTTGGAAAGAATATTGATATATTTAAAATATCTACTTTCGGAGTGGCCATAGTATTAGGTTTAATGTACTTTTTAAAGAAAAAAATTATTAAATGAGTTTATTTATAAAATGAATGAAAAAGACACTCTAAGTTTATTACACACAAAAAGAGAAAGAATGGCTCAAATGCATTCTTAACAAAGTAAATTTTCATTTGCTTAATCTAGTACGTAATAAGATTTTCGAGGTGAAAAGAAAGTAATTCGTAAGATCAAAAGGTGTATAAGAAATATCAAAAATGTTATAAGACTATTAATTTTTGAATGAAGGATTCATTTCTTTATTGAACTTGTTGGAAGAAGATTAGGATGATATTAATTTTGCATATTTATTATACTATTGGGGTATCTTAGATGATTTGGTTGAAGTGTTACATAATTACAGGCAATTAACAGAATTATAATTAGTATATATATTAGAAGATATAAGAATAGATAGATTTGACCAAAATTATTGCATTCATAGTTTAGAGTAATGATGCAAGTCATTATTTTATTAATACAAAGGCCCCTTAGATATTAGAAATTTTATTAGCAAATCATAATAATTTGTTAATTATTGAACATGTAATTAATTTAAATATATAAAGTGTATTTTAATATTAGGTAATCTTGAGAAATATGAAATAAATAATTATTTTTTGAATACAGTAATCCCAAGACTTAAAAATTATTTATATAACTTCAAACCTCTTCCAGTATAATGTTTGGTGAATTTTAGTTGGATGATCAAGAATCGTAATTTGCCATAATAGGATGAAATTTAGAAAGAATTAATTTTACTATAAAATGAAGAAATATTATTTGAAGCAATATAGTATTTAGATACTCTAAATATTGATGCAAATTTAATGGGTTATTTAATCATGAATTTTGATTTAATAAATGATGTGTCATAAGATTAACCTAAATAATTACTCAATTTGATTTGTTAAAATTTAAATAAAGAAAATGCAATAAAAGAAATTACAAATTTACTTAATAAATGTATGTAAATGGGTAAACTCATAATACTTTAATTTGCATTTAAACTTGCTCAAAATTACATGATTTAATCTGGATTACCTTATTTTAATGAAATAGTTGAAAAGAAGGTTATTTAATTATTAATAATATTTAATCAAGATATCACAAAACATCAAGGACTCTTAAGATCAATGATGTAATATTTAGAAACATTTCACATAATGTATCCAGAAAGTAGATTCTCAGTAGAATTTTACAAAAGATTATTAGACACAATATAGATTAGTCATTTAAGATTATTGTCTATTGTGATGACTAGAAATTTAGAGTTCATTAAAAATATAGCCAATATTGGAGTACACAAAAAGAGATTGTAAGAACTTGCCAATAAGAGTAATGAAGCAAAAGAATTATTAAAATAAATATATTTGTGATAATTAACTCATGATCTTAAAAATTAGATAACTCTTTTCAACAACAGCAGAAACTGTATCTAGCAGTAAATAATGGATGAAATTCTTTAACAATACTTCTGGAATACAAATAAATATTGAAAGGAGTTTGAAAAATGATGCTGTATTTATCCATAATATTATAGAGCGAAAATCTCAATTATTATGTTCGTCAAAATTATAAGACTTTCAATTAAGAATAGTTGTTTTCAGCTTATATTAAAAAAGACTTGCAATTTGAAATTTAAAAATAAGTATAAATGGAAGTCTTAGAAAGATTTGTTGCTAATTAAATGTCTTTTAGTGAGAATATGCTCGTTTCTTATTTAAGTAAAGAAGCTTAAATGTTACCAGCTTATTATTCAATAATAGCATAAAACCTGTTATTAAATGGACTCAATGTCTTTGATAAACTTAATAAGATTCAATAAATTGAATATATGAGATTATCTATCTAAGCAGGTTTTTTGAATTCTGACATACTTTAATAATTTATCAAAAACTTAAAAATGGATGATCAATTTGCTGAATCATTAACATTGCTTTAATTTAAATGTATAATGACTGTATTTGATCATTGTGCTACTTCTCCTTATGATTTAGGATTACAACCAGGCTTCATAGATTACTTATTTAATAAATATTTACAAAGACTAAGTAATTTTGAACTTGTTGCTTCAGAGATTATTAAACATGAGTTTTCTTAACTTATTATTACTAATCACTATAATTTTTTAAGTGAAGAATAATACACTCAAATTAAGATTGCGTATGCTAAAATGTATGAATTAAATTCTATATTTAATAAGTTTTGAGAAAATGTTTAATAAGAATTACAATTTTATTGTGCATAGAAATTTAAATGGTAAAGATATTGCTAAAAAATTATATTGGCTTTATTCACCAGAAGATTTTAAATTAATCCAAAGAACTCTCAATTATCTAATATCCAGTTCTATTTATTAAAGTGAATTCAAGGTTGATTATACTATTTATGCATTATCATGTATTTAATTATTAAATAAATCATAGAATATTTTAAGTATTTCTCTCCATAGTTATACTCTTTATCATTAAAATACTGTTAGAAATAATACAATTACAAAACCTCAAAGAATGATATTAAGCAAATCATTTATTTATTGAACAGCAACTCAATAAAAGGATTTCGATCTATTCTAAGTGATCGAATTATGATTGATGATGTAGAAATATTTATTAGAAATGCTTTCATTTCTTACCTTAACAATGTAAAAGAAGAAGAATTGTTAATTTTTGAAGATGCTTTTGATCCAAATATGGAATTAGATGTTGAAATTGAATTTAATGATGCTGAATATTCAGAAATCTTACCATATTATTAAAACAATCATAAAAATTAAGAAGTTCAAAATCATCAAAATTAATAATTATTTATTGCTAATCTAAAAAATAAATTCTATGCTTTATAAAACATTTTATAGAAAAATGGATTTTAAAGAATCTAAACTTCTAAAATAAACAAAAGAATTACTATATTAGATCCAATTCTTACTTTTATAGAAGCATTATATTTTGCATCTATTTATATTCCTGAATTTTAACCATAAACAAAAATATTTAAAACTCCATAAATGCTGAAATTTATTAATAATCTTATTTATATGCCTAATCTATTAGAACATTTAATTTAATTGAATCAAATTTGGCCTAATTTATTTAGTGAAGATATAAAATCTATAATATTAATTAATAAATCAAGAATAGATCAAATTTATAATTCTTGTAAGAATCCTTAAGAATTTATTGATAAAGTGGAAGGACAAATAAAGAAGTCACATCTAGAAAGATCAAGAAAATAACTTTATAGAAATAGAACATATTAAGGAATTATATCAATGTTTAATTTTATACGTCCAAAACCACATTCTATATTATCACCAATATTGAAAAATCCATATGATGAATACACAATAGAAGAAGCATATTGTAATTCAGAGAATAATACATATTGGAAAGTATCTTAAAAAAGTGAGAATGTGATATAACACACTCATTTTAAGGAATTAATATGGTAATCTCTTAAACTTGATTCAAATGAATGGATAATTAATTATAGTGATTATCCACATATTCTTGATTTTGTTTGTTTAAAATAGAAAATAGCAGTCTTTTTAGAAGAATATCCTCGTTTAATTAGAGGGTTAGAGAAAATATATACAGTGGATACTGAAAGATCAGCAGAATATTTCTCAAGACTTGGTTATTAAATTGTGTTTATAGATTATAATGTCTATCATCCAGATAGCAAATAGATGTTGGATATTTTGAAATAAAAATTTATATTTCGTTATAATTGATTTAAATATATTAATGAACGAAATTACCATTCAATGTTCAAATTGCAGACAACCAATTGCAGAATCAAAACATATGTTACATGAAACATATTGTTTACGTAACAATATAAAATGTCTTAAATGTGGTCAATTTTATGATAAAAATGATCCAGAAAGTCATGAGGAAGAGTATCACAAAAAAGAAAAATGTTAACATTGTTCATAGGAATTTGAAGGTTTCTTTAATAATATATAAATAGATTTAAAAAAGCATAAATGTATCAAGAAACCAAAGTAATGTATGCATTGTGATCTATCATTTCCAATTGATTAAATATTTTAACATGAAAATTAATGTGGGAGTAGAACATAAAAATGTGAAATATGCAATAATTATGTCATGATTAAAGATTATTAAAATCATCTGAAAACTTGTTAACCTAAAGCAAAGGTTGAACCATCTTTAATTCAGAAAAAACCAACTAGTTAAGAAATTTTTGATAAACCTAATTATGATAAATTTGATGATAGAATAGATTAATAGAAATTTAATAGCAAAAAGGAAACATAATAATAATATCAATCTTAAAGTTAAACTCAAGAAAAATAATTTGTTTAATAACAACAATAAACTAGACCATAAGTTTCTGGATATAAATATAATTAAGCAGCTAGAGAAGGTAAAACTTAATACCAACTTAAAGATGAAGATAAAAATAATAAATAAAAAGATGGATTTAGACCACCTTCTTCAAATAATTAAACAGCTTCTAGAAATTAACCTTAATAATAGATTACAACTTAGATATCCTAACAAAAATAATAAACTAATTAAACATAAAATTAAAGACAGTAGAACAATTCTTAAAAAGAAGAAAAAGCTTATTTTGATAATTAATATGAAAGATAATAATATATTAATAAATAATAGTAATCAATTTAGCCACAAACATAGTAATAATAAAAATAAAATACTTCTAGCTACTCATAAATTTAAAAAAGTTAATAACAATTTAATAATTAAAATAAAAGAACTGATTTAAAAAGACCAGATACAGCTATAGCAAGAGAAATTCAAAAATAAATGGAATTAGAAGAAGAATTTGGAATAAGTTCAGAAGAGTACCTTCTATAATAATAATTTAATTAAAAGTCTCATGAATAAAATTAGTAATAACCACCACCAATATAGAAAGTAGCTCCTCCTTAACCTATGATACCAGCAGCTAGAATTCCTTAGAATCATGACAATTAGGAATTCGATATTGAAGGTATATCGGAAGAAGAAAAATACATATAATAATAGATAATGGAAAGCTTAAAATTTAATTAAAAGAAACGTTGAGTGATATATAAGAATTATACATCTGTAAAATAATATAAAGAATACTTTTTGTGCATTTTAAATTTAGATGGAATAATACATTCTTAAATTTTAAGGTTTATGTTAATTGTATAATAAAAAATAAAAATAGTTTATAAATAATTAAACTTAATTGTTATTAAGATTTTTAAGAATTAAAGAGAATAAACAATATGATAAAGTAAATAAATTTTGGTCATATTTTTTTATAAATATTCTAATGTTATATAAGTGTGAAAAGTTGACCATAAATGATTAATTAATATTTGATAAATTCTACATGTATGCCTTTAGAAAACATGCTGCCCTAAATAAGAAAAAACTAAATGCAGAATCATTTTCGTTTGTGATGCCAAAATTAAATGTGAATTCAACAAATGAAGACCCAACAGCTTCTCTTTTAGAGCAAGACAAATTGCCAATATCAAAGAATTAGTTTGCAAATGAATCCGTAATGATGGGATAAATATGAAGATCCTAAACCAATTAGAGTAGAAATCAGGTGTGTAGCGAGAACAGTAATAGTAGATAAATGTACAAGAATGGGGGATTCAATTAAGCAATCATCTTAAATTAATAGATGATAAAAGTAGCCATTGGATTAAAAATAAATATACAAAGAATGCTATAGAAATAATAAACAAGTAGAAATTCTCAACAATAGAGAATGAGAAATCAAAATTATCCAATTAATGGATTATTAGATTTTTGTAAAAATATTTTAATTTATTACAGTTCCAAAATTTCAGTAATTGAACCATCATCAAATTGGTTAAATTTATGGAGCATTTTTATGTCTCTGTGTTTAATAACCTATTTTTACTTTCTAGTAATAAATCTTTATTTTTCCAAAAACGAAGGTGATTAAGAATGGTATTGGGATTAATGGAAATAAGGGTATACTGGCTTATTAAATATTATTTACACTCTTTGTATGACAATAGACATTCTAATAGAGATGCATGTATCATATTTTGAAAGAGGAGAATATGTAAAGAATAAAAGATAAGTGTACATAAATTATTTAAAAACTGGTTTTTTTTTTGATTTTATTCCACTCTTTATTTTGTATCTTTGTCTCATTTCAGATTAAGTAAATGAGTCAACAATATTAAGATACTTATTCTTTTTAAAGTTTTATAAGCTTTCAGTATATGATCAAAGATATTAAGAGAGAGTTCAATTACATCATAAATCTAAAACAATATATTTAATATTTAAGATAATAGTTGAGATTCTGATAATAGTATAGTTAAATGCAGCATTATTTTATCGTGCTGGAATATATATGTACGATTTGAAATAGGAAGATGAGGATAATTTTGATTGGGGAACATGGTTGGAAAATGATATGTTCAATGGTGATATTTATAGTAAATCACTTTAATCTTAATACTTTTTATCATTATATTGGTCAGTTGCAACATTAACAACAGTATCATATGGAGATATTACTCCAGCTAATCCTTTAGAGATTTTGATAAGTACGATGGCTATGTTAATAGCAATATTTTTATTTGCATTAAATGTTTAGACAATATAAGAAGTATATTTAGAGTATAAGGCAAGCAAGAAAAAGTTTTAGAAGTAATTGATTATATTATAAAATATAGACATTTAATAGCAATAAATAGATTTATGAGAGATAAATAGATATCAGTATCATTATAGGCTAAGATAAGAAAATATTTGGATCATATTTGGGATAAATAAAGAGCCAGAGAATAGAAATTAGAATAAGTAGTTATAGGTTCGTTAGCTCCATCATTAAGATAAGAATTAATGTTTGAATCATATGGAATGGATTTAATTAAGATTCCTTGGATGAGTGATAATTTTACTTTTGAGTTTATTAAGGAATTATCTGAAGAATTAAGAGAAGTATATTTTGCAGCTGATGAAACTATATTTCTTGATAAAGAAACAATCAATGATGATTATTCATTATATATTTTGAAAGAAGGATAAGTTGATTTATTTATTAATAGTAGTAATGCATCTTAACCTTTGATTGCACATTTAAAAAATGGAGCAGTCTTTGGATAATATTCATTTATTACTGGAGATGGAAGGTAATGTTCTGCTAAAACAAAAACTTAAACAACATTATATTAAATAAATCGTTCAACATTTATTAATACACTTCTTAAGTTTGAAGCAGATTATGAAAGATATTGTTAATTAAAAGATTCAGTTATGCTTGGTAAAAGATATGATTTATTGGTAATTTATTTATATAATTGATTTAGTAATTAAGTTGCTTTACTTGTAATTTAACAGATCATATGAGTAATTGTTGTCCTCTTACACATTTTACATTTGAATCCTAAAAAAATATTATGGGTTCTTAAATTGTTAAAAATGAATATAAATCATAACATAGATAAAAAACTAAAAGAAGAAAAGCAAAATAAAAAAATATTATTATTAATGCTGATGAATTTGAAATTGATGAAGCATAATTAAGTGAACTTAAATAATAATGTATTGAAAAACCAAATGATAGCTTTGATATTGATAAAGTTCATAGTTTTAAATATTATTTCCCAACATAGAATATAGATTCTTTCTATTTTAATTAAATGAGGTAATAATCATATATCATATTAGAAATATTTCATTAAACCATAAGAAGTATTTTACACCACCGCTTAGACATTAGATTGTCCCCAAATGATCAAAATCATATTATTAATATTAATTAATAAATATAAATGGGAAATGGATAATGTTGTAAAAGAATTGAAAGAGTAGAAACTTTAGAAGTTGATAATACTCCTCCAAAAAATACTAAGAATGCCTCACCTTTAGATGAGCCATAATAAATGGTCTCATTTTCTGATTCAGATGAAGAATATCAACCACAAAAATAACAATAGTTTGGAGTTTTCAAAGAAAGATAAAAAACTTCTTAATTATCAACTGGATAATAATATTCTTTTTAAACTCTTCCATCTGAATAATAATTCTCAAACTTTATTACTTTTCAAGCTATTCCATCACAGTAAGGAATTCATAATAATGTATTCTCCAAATTTCAAAAAGAGATGAAAGACTTTGCAACGAATTAAACCAAAAACTAAAAGAACTTTTAAAAATAATGAATCAATCACATTTTTGTTATACTTATATATTTATATATCAAACATTTTAAACAAAATTTATTTTTTTTTATATACTAAGAAATTTCCAATTTATATTCCTAGCTATTCATAATTCTTAAGAACATTTTTCACTCTGAATTGTCCAAAATTATCATATTTATTTTATATAATATCTCATATTTTTCATTTTTTCTACTGAATTAAACTTATACATAAAATAATCTTTTGTCTCTAACTAATACTCGACGTTTTCAACAATTTCTAAACTACCATAAAATGATTAATTCACAATTATAATAATTTATTTCTACTCTAGTTTACAGCCAAATTCAAAATATTCTTAACATGACAAACTATTCTAGTTTAGATTTAAATAATCCTAATTTAAAAAAATTAATCTAAATTACTTTTATATGACTTTTGAGCAAAGACAAGAAAGTAACTTCAAAGTATCATCAATTCTTGTATTATTGAAACTAGAATGACTAATAAAATTGATTCTTCATTCTATCCAACATAATAGGCAATTAGAACTAGTATAATATAAATTATTAGATCCAAAAAAATTTTATATAATTTAGAGTCTCTCTAATTTTATTAATTTGTTTTATTAATGATAGGAACTATATTGACTTCTATTGGGCATTTTTGGGAGTGAAATTGCCTAAACATTTTTTTGAATTTTTAATCTAACTTTTAAATCTTTTCTTATAAAATTCTGAGTTCCTTATTTTTAAAATCCTTTCATTTTAAAGATCATTAACCAATATACATTGGTTAGTTTCTTTCCAAAAACTCAATATATTATAATTAACTTTTTTTTTATTATTTAATCATTCAAACAAATATACTAAGGTTCCAATCAACCAAAATAGTAAAGATAATAATCTTTTAAACTCATATAAAAATTTCTCGAATTAGAATTAGATATAAAATATTATAAATCAACCTTGAATTCGAATTAGATATAAAATATTATAAATCAATCTAATTAATTGTAAAGGTTTCAATTCAGTATAACTTTTAATTTCCAAATTAAAGATAATATTAAACTTAATCTGATATTAATGCTCTATTTTCTTTGTTTTATCTTATAAATTTTATGTAATTTCTTTACTGCATATAAAATATTTTATGGATTAAACATTATTTATTAAATTTTACAAAATTTTATAATAATTTTATTTCCACCTTGACGTTTCTGTTACAAATTGAATAAAAATATATTTAAATACATTTATGATACTTATAGAATAAATTAAATTATAAATTATAGAACCAAAATTAATAATTAACTTTTAACCAATATTTACAAGATAATTAGATTAAAGAGGATTAGGATGGAAAGAAGACTAAATTTGTAACATTTTGTTTTGAAAAAAACATCATTCATTCTATTTATAAATGCCCATCTGAATATCTGAGTAAAAAAAAGAAAAAACAATTAAGCAGAAGAATCTCAAGTTCAATAAGGAGTAGATGGTATGATGATTAAACATCCTCTGATGAAGAAACTAAAAATTATTCAGATCTTGAAGATTATGAACACTTTTATAGCATAATTGAATGGAAAAACTTATAAGAAGTATCTTAATAAAAAATGACTCCTAATAATTTGAAGGAAGATCAAAATTCAAAATATTAAAATGATTTTAAAGATGGAAGTTTGGATAATCCAAAATCATGTCTTAGAAAGATTAAGAAATTAAATATTCTTCTATAATTTGATGAACTGAACAAATAAGATTAAAATGATGATTAATAAACTGAAGTATGTTCAGAAAAATTTAATAATAAAGATAATTTATAAAATAGGCCATATATTATTGTAAGTAAATTCAAAGATAGAGGTGATGAAGAAGATGATGAAGAAGTAAGAAAATTAAATATATCATAGATATCTATTAATCTTGATGATTTAGAAGAATTTGAATGTAATGTTAAAGAGGAGAGAACCAATGAAAAATAAGATATATCTATGCTAGATTAAATAAGAAAAAAAATAGATTTCAAGTCATCTTTTCAGATTATTGATAAATAGAGATTATAATTTATTTATAAAATTACTTAAGTAGATTTGGCTGATACTTTATATTTATTCATCTCCTATAATTGAGGTTTCATAATTTCGTCTATAATTTTCATTTACTCTTAGTTGATATATATGTTAACATAAATGGCATTCTTCTATCAACAATAGTTTAGTTATTAACTAAAGCCTTGATTTAACTAAAAATTTGAGGATTTTAAATACATTTTTTTGAAGTCTAATTTATTCTAAATAATCTCATCTTTTTCAGATTATAGATATTCAACACTTATTTCTACAGTTCCTGCTAAGTCATTTTATAATTAATTAGTTTATATTTACAGCTACTTATTTTCTTATTTCAAAAATATCATATCTTAGTTTAAATATTTTGTATTAGTTAATGAATACATTTATCATATATAGGTATATTAAGATTTTCTTAAACTACAAATAATTGTTTTGTTTAAAATTCTATTATTTCTATATATCTGCAACATGATCATAAATATGATTAGTAAGCATTTGCTTTAATTCTAAAGCGGTTTTCCAATTTTAAAAAATGAATACGTTGATTCATTATATTTGGTAGGAATTATTATCTTTATTGTGATTTGTAATATTGATTAAATTGAATAAGATTGTTGAATTTAATAATAAAGAAAGAATTGTAATAATTTGTCAAAGATTTTAATNTACAAGATAATTAGATTAAAGAGGATTAGGATGGAAAGAAGACTAAATTTGTAACATTTTGTTTTGAAAAAAACATCATTCATTCTATTTATAAATGCCCATCTGAATATCTGAGTAAAAAAAAGAAAAAACAATTAAGCAGAAGAATCTCAAGTTCAATAAGGAGTAGATGGTATGATGATTAAACATCCTCTGATGAAGAAACTAAAAATTATTCAGATCTTGAAGATTATGAACACTTTTATAGCATAATTGAATGGAAAAACTTATAAGAAGTATCTTAATAAAAAATGACTCCTAATAATTTGAAGGAAGATCAAAATTCAAAATATTAAAATGATTTTAAAGATGGAAGTTTGGATAATCCAAAATCATGTCTTAGAAAGATTAAGAAATTAAATATTCTTCTATAATTTGATGAACTGAACAAATAAGATTAAAATGATGATTAATAAACTGAAGTATGTTCAGAAAAATTTAATAATAAAGATAATTTATAAAATAGGCCATATATTATTGTAAGTAAATTCAAAGATAGAGGTGATGAAGAAGATGATGAAGAAGTAAGAAAATTAAATATATCATAGATATCTATTAATCTTGATGATTTAGAAGAATTTGAATGTAATGTTAAAGAGGAGAGAACCAATGAAAAATAAGATATATCTATGCTAGATTAAATAAGAAAAAAAATAGATTTCAAGTCATCTTTTCAGATTATTGATAAATAGAGATTATAATTTATTTATAAAATTACTTAAGTAGATTTGGCTGATACTTTATATTTATTCATCTCCTATAATTGAGGTTTCATAATTTCGTCTATAATTTTCATTTACTCTTAGTTGATATATATGTTAACATAAATGGCATTCTTCTATCAACAATAGTTTAGTTATTAACTAAAGCCTTGATTTAACTAAAAATTTGAGGATTTTAAATACATTTTTTTGAAGTCTAATTTATTCTAAATAATCTCATCTTTTTCAGATTATAGATATTCAACACTTATTTCT